TACCAGAAATCCAAGCTGCTGTCCAGGCACAGAAAGAGGGCGGTAAACATTTCAGAAGAGGGGGACATGCTATCTGAACATTCCAGAGACAGAGACTGGTACCGAGCCCAGCATCTGACTTCTAAGTAAGGAGCCTCATGACAGGTCAAAGTAGGTCCCTTGATTGATGAATGTAAGCTGTAAGCTGTGTGCTGCTGCTAGAAAGAAATACACAGAGACATGCCTTTTGTATTTATTATTTATTTATTTACTTTATTTGTATACCGCACTATCTCAGCCCGTAGGCGACTCAGTGCGGTTTACAACACGACAAAATACAAAGTGCATAGCATTAGCATCTAGACAGTCACTAAAGCAGTTAAAACAATACAACAATACATCAGTAAATGAACAAACATCAATACATCCAATAACTAATCCGTCACGTCTCATCAGTAAAATCACAATCCGATCTCCTCATCCATTATTCCAGTTCCAAACTCAGTCAATTGAATTGCACTGTTTAATTGAACGCCTGTTCAAAGAGCCAGGTCTTCACTCTTCTCCTGAATGCCAGCAGGGAGGGAGCCGATCTAACGTCTGCGGGAAGGGCGTTCCACAGCCGAGGGGCCACCACGGAGAAGGCCCTGTCTCTCGTCCCCGCCAGCCATGCTTGTGAGGCTGGCGGGATTGAGAGCAGGGCCTCCCTGGACGATCTTAATGTCCTAACTGGTTCATAGGGGGTGATGCGTTCGGACAGATAGGTCGGGCCAGAACCGTTTAAGGCTTTAAAGGCTAAAGCCAGCACTTTGAATTGTGCCCGGTAGCAAATTGGCAGCCAGTGGAGCTGGCGCAGCAGAGGAGTGGTGTGCTCCCTGAGTGCCGCTCCTGTTAACAACCTGGCTGCCGATCGTTGGACCATTGTAGCTTCCGAGCCGTCTTCAAAGGCAACCCCATGTAGAGAGCGTTGCAGTAATCTATACGGGATGTTGGAAGATATTTGATATTTTGATAATTTGATATTTTTGTGATGCTAAAGTGACGCAGAGAATGACGTCAATGTATGTAGAAGCATGTTCTTTGTTTGCCTGCAATTGGAGGGTATAAAAAAGCAGTCAACACCTATCTCGGTGCTCTGGATGCTTTTGGACATAGCTCTACTCCAGAGCCCCAGCTGGAAATAAAATCCGTGCTTTTGAGACCTCCAGAACTCTCTTTGTCTCTTTTCCTCAAACCTTCTCCCTGCCATTTCAATTGCACTTTTCCTGGACAAAACAAAATGTGTGTGTGGATCACCTTCATAATGCTTCAGGGCTATCAATTCACTTTTAAAATAGTCATAGTCCTTATTCTGTTATGTAACGGGATAATACAGCAACAGCCTGCTTTTCAAAACCAAAAGAGGAGTTCAGTTCCAGCCACTTTTGTTTGCATTTTTTAAAATTATTTGACAGTCAAGGCAGTGCCACAATTTTGTGTAGTTCTGCAATCCTGCTGAAATGTCATGGAATATTCAAGAATACTCCAGCTCCTCGGGGAACCATTTTTTCAACCTCCGTTTCTTGAGAGAAAAAACGTTTTATGTTTGCTATTAAATAGTAGATGAGATATTGGACTACAAAAGAAAAACCACAGACAAAAGGAAACAGACAATGGAAGCCTAAATAATGAAAATGAAGACAAGAAAAGGAGATTTGGTACTTTGAGATTTTAGTTCATGCGTCATAAAATATTCATTTTTAGACCCTTATTGTATTCCTTAATATAGGTGTGCCTTAGTTAACAAAGTTTATATGTTCCTAGGCATTACTTCTTTAACAGAATATTTGGAAACACAAGTAGAAATAACATAAAAAGAATAGGAAGAGTTTCCTACACTATACACAAACAGAAGAGCAGTTCAACAAGTTTCAGCAACCTTTTCAATCAAAATTAACAATATGCCCAGATGTATAGGTCTTTTAGTCAAGGGCTCATTGCACCATCTTTGAGACTATCGAAGAGAAAGCCATTTGTAACATGCTTTTGTTGAATAGGTCTACTTCCTCAGACTCAAACTATGAAAAATTGTGCTATAGATATATTATTTTCAGTTATCACACAAGCAGCTGTTACACAACAGCAGAACGATTACAGACAGTTGCTACATTCCGGCATGAACACCCTTGCTATCACACATCTTTACATTTGTACAACTGTGCTGATTCATTAATTTGTGGTCCCACATTCATAGAATCATAGAATAATAGAGTTAGAAGTTCACTAGGCATCATCTTATTTCTCAACAGCAGAAGCCTTCAAAACCATTCTTTCACCAGACAAAGGAGTACCCTGCTATATGTTGTGTTACCCATTTTAGAAAGAGAGACAACTCTGAAATCTCCAACCAAGTCATGTTTCACTATCCCTGCCATGTAAGCATCAAGAGGAAGTAATTAGCTGAATGTGGATATGAGGAAATATCTCCCAAGTAGCAGCTATTATAAGTGTGTACTTAACACAGCTCTTTGGGAATATTGACACTGTGGTGTCACTAGGGTTGGTCACCTGGAGTGGTAATTCATGGTGTTACCTCCATTCCAACTGAGCAGGTAGCACAGAACAAATGAAATCAGGCGTCACACTGAAAGGAAAAAGAAGCAGCAAAAAAATGTAAAGCACAGTGCAGTAGACAGCATGGGGGACTTAGCGGTTACTAAAATCTACATGTGGATGAGGAACTAGCTAGGGGTATTTTTACAAAATACATATCTACATACCTAATGAAACACTGGATAAAATGTTATAGACCAGGGGTCCCCAAACTAAGGCCCATGGGCTGGATGCAGCCCTCAAAGGTCCCTTATCCAGCACCCACCCTAAACTTTAGACCTAGGGTCACCCTAAGTCTGAAATGACTTGAAAGCATGTTGTTGTTGTTCATTCGTTCAGTCGTCTCCGACTCTTCGTGACCTCATGACCAGCCCACGCCAGAGCTCCCTGTCGGCCGTCACCACCCCCAGCTCCTTCAAGGTCAGTCCAGTCACTTCAAGGATGCTGTCCATCCATCTTGCCCTTGGTCGGCCCCTCTTCCTTTTGCCTTCCACTTTCCCCAGCATCATTGTCTTCTCCAGGCTTTGCTGTCTCCTCATGATGTGGCCAAAGTACAAAGGATCACCGCCTTGTCGGGGCGCTGGAGCTTGAGCACCTCAATGATGTCATGAGCGAACCCGTGAAGGGCCACCCAAGACGGGACGGTTGTGGCAGAGAGGTCAGACCAAGCGTGATCCCTGGGGAAGGCAATGGCAAACCACCCAGTATCCTTGCCAAGAAAACTAAAAACTTGAAAGCATACAACAACAATAATGCTAATTAGCTTGACTATTATCAGGGGCTCTATGCAGTCATAAATACCTATTCTTGTGGAATTGATTCTGTTAGTTCTGGTTAAGTGACCAGGTATCAAAAAACACAGTGGTAATCAGGGCCATAGCCAGAAAAAAAATCAGGAGGGGTTGAAAATTTCGCAGGGGGGGGGGTTGAAACCTGCCTCCTAGCTCACGCTGAAGCAAAAAGTACAGCAGAGGGCAGAGCAGCCTTCAATAGCCTGCATCTTCGCCTCTGTCAACCACCTCCACCAAGTCTGGCCTCCTTAATGAGAGCATTCAATACCCCCCCCCCCACAACTTGGTTGCTTCACTACATTGGCTATTGCTGCAAGTAATGACAGTGTGAATAAATTGTCAATATTTGTTGAGATAGTGCTTGCAGTTCTGGAGGGACTCTTATTTTTTTCGTCTCATAGACTTAGCATGGAGATTTGGTTAACCAGTTAAAATTCATGAGTAAACCAGGTTTTTTCTTTAACCTGAAAATTTGGGGGGGGGGGTTGAACCCCTAACACCCCCTCCCCGGCTACAGGCGTGGTGGTAATGGTCTTCTACTCTATGATATTTTACTGATTGTATGTGTTTTTATGGTTGGAAACCAGGCTGAGTCCCTCAATGAGGTGAGAAGGTTGGTATAGAAAACTTTGAAATAAATAAATAAATAAATAAATACTCAAACAACAAAACATAAAGAGACTTTTGTTCTTTCCCAAATGCGCAGGAAGGCTTTTCTTTGTCCTTTGTTGCAGCAGTATAGAAAGTATATACAAAATATACACACTTTACAGCTCCTTCTTCCTCGCTACTCAAAGCAGTAATTCTCCAAATCACCATCTGTCCCTCAAAAACCTTCATCAAACCAACTCAGTACAACTAATACCTATATACTACTCTCATTACATTAACCACCAAACCCTATTACAGTGGCTTAACTCCTTTACAGGTGATTTGGCGAGAGGTATTAACTCTCCTATTACTTAGAAAATGCCAAGAAATTTCCAAATGCTGACAACTATTTATTTATTTATTTATTTATTTACAGTTCTTATATTCTGCCCTTCTCACCCTGCAGGGGACTCAGGGCGGATTACAGTATACACATACATGGCAAACATTCAATACCAGTTTGACAAACAACGTATAACAGACAATACACACTTTTTTTTTTCTGGCCGCCAGGGGAGCTGCTGCTTTTCATCGTCCATCAGCGACACTGATGCAGTTCTTCCGCATTCCACATTCCCCGGAGTCTTTTTTTCTTTATGACCTCATAAATTAGTTAATTTAGCCTCCCCACACTTTACGGTGGTAGCTTATTTTCCTACTTGACAGATGCAACTGTCTTTCGGGTTGCAAAGGTCAACAACGAGCTACACAATGGCTGGACACCCACTCCAGCCCGGGCTGGCTTCGAATTCATAACCTTTTGGTCAGAGTGATCTTAATGCAGCTGACACTCATCCAGCTGCGCCACCACTGTATCTTTTACAGTCAAGACTAAACAATATTGCATGATTATTTGGCTGTTTGTTACTTTCACTGCAATTGTTTGATATTAAGAACAAAGTACAATAAAATCACTGTCTGAGGGATGCACCCCCTTCCATGCAAGAGCCATTCTGCACTCCCCAGCAGATGGTGCTGCTGTAACAAACATTCTGTTCCAAACTGCTATTGCTAGCAAAAGTTATGCTGGGCTTCTCTACATTGCCTAGAATTCCTGGACTCATTTCAAATAGAAGGCTATCTGTCTTCATGAAGCAGAGATACTTCTGGTGAGTGTTTTTGTTTTTGTTTGAACTTCAGGGAAAGTGTATGTGGGTGGGGTGGCGGAGGTGACTCCAGAAACTGGTGCAAATGCTGTTTCCTCCAGCTTTATGGGAGTCTGGAAAGCTAGATCAGGTCCACCTTAGACCAATCCACTGTCCAAATGGAATACTAATGCCATCACTTTTTCCTTGTGGTCATCAGCACAGAGAAAGATGATGGATCATGGCTGTGTCATTGCCACTGCCAGTCCCAGCTGGCCATGGAATTTGTGTGCACTCCTGGCCATCACGGGCTCCTCTGCGTACATCAGAATGGGGCACCTGTACAACCATAATGACAGGAAGGGTAATCTCTGCTTACATGGGCAGAGATGCCTGCATGGCCAGGAAGGAACGAGAATGCTTAGAGTTCCATGGTCAGCTAGGAGCAGTGGCAGTGGTAAAACATGGAAAGAGTAAGCTGTGCTCCATGACCCAGGAAAGTGGCTACGCTCTCCAACAATTTGAACAATGGCCCAAGATTCAGTATGATTCTGGGCTACTCCAGGTCATCTTTACCAGGCTAAACTAGGGACCTCATCACATGAATGAAGGGAAAATGGGAGACAGTGGAGGAAACTGTTTTAGGACCTCATTAAATGGACTTCTGGCTTTGTCCTAGGATCCCAATGGAGCCCTTCATACAATACATGGCTACTTCCGACAGGGCTCCATCCTGGTAGCATCCTAGGACAGAGCCCTGAATACACAGGTGGCTACCCGTATTCACATAGCCTACATCAGGGCTTGCACAGGGGAAACCGAGCTCAACACTTTCCCCCATGAAATGGGGAAGGTGGCTATGTGAGGCACAGGACAATGGTTTCCCCCACTGCTCCATGGGTTCATCATGCTGCCCGGCAAATTCCCCCATTGTCACCGCACCCCTCAATATGATGAGCTCCTTACTCATAGAATCATAGAATCAAAGAGTTGGAAGAGACCTCATGGGCCATCCAGTCCAACCCCCTGCCAAGAAGCAGGAATATTGCATTCAAATCACCCCTGACAGATGGCCATTCAGCCTCTGTTTAAAAGCTTCCAAAGAAGGAGCCTCCACCACACTCTGGGACAGAGAGTTCCACTGCTGAACGGATCTCACAGTCAGGAAGTTCTTCCTCATGTTCAGATGGAATCTCCTCTCTTGTAGTCTGTTCCTTCCAGTTGAGGTCTGTCTTCTGCTATCCCCCATCCTTTCCCTATATTGGTCAGTCTTTCCCCTGCTTTGTGCCATCAAAAGGCACTCTGGGCTCCATTTCCCTACACTGCCGAAACTGAACCCCACAGAGTCCTGTTGGAAGTTGCCTTGCATCATGCGATGGGTTCCATGGGACTCCATTTTAGAAGCATAGAGAAATGAGACAGCACAGAGAGACTGTGTCTGATGAGGTCATATGTATCAATAAACTCCAAATCATAGAGTCAAAGAGACTACAAAGGCCATCTAGTCCAACCCCATTTTGCCATGCAAGAAATCATTACCATAGCCATCCAAGCAGACAGTCATCCAATCCTGTTTAAAAATCTCTAGAGATTCCACCTGTATCCTCTGCCTTTGCTATAATGTGTGTGTGTGTGTGTGTGTGTGTGTATGCATATGTGTGTGTGTGTGTAGCCATTTGATTTTCTTAGAGCCAGAGTCGACAAAGCGTGGCCCTCTAAAAGCTTTTCACAGAATCATAGAGCTAGAAGGGACAGCAAAGACCATCCAGTCTAATTTCAGATAGGATCTGTATAAAGAAAATCTTCATGATGATGAAGTAGACTTTTTTGTAGCTGAATCCATTGGCTCATTAGGTACAAACCAGCATTCTCCATCTTCCATAAGAAAAACTTTCTGATATTCACATGTGGCTATCATGTCACCTCTTCTTCTTTTTTCCAAGTTAAACATAGCCAGATTCCAAAAACCTTTCCAGATTTAATACCATCTTGGTTGCCTTCCTCTGACCAGGCTCCAGTTTGTCAATACCCTTCTTGAACAGTTCTTTCCAGATCTGAATAAAATATCCCTTCTGAGGTCTGACCAAAACAAAGCAGAATGGTCCTGCATTAATTCTAAAGTCTGGATGCACCTTGAGAAGGAAAATCCAAGTGACATCCGCTCTTGTAGTATTATTATTTATTTATTTATTTATTTAAAACTTTTATATCCCGATCTTCTCTACCTTCGTAGAGGGACTCAGTAATTCTGGCATTGCCAATTCGTTAAGAAGGGGGGCTTGTTCAAGTTTAATCGGAGTTAAAATGCCTTCTGAGGTTTGTGTGCTTGCGAGATGAAAGGCAGCATGCTTTGTTGTTGTTGTTGTTGCATGGTTTCAGATATCGCTCTTTGCTTTCTCAGGTGCTAAGAAAAGAGAAGATGTTCATACATGGGCAGAAGAATATTGTTGGCAGAGATGGACCAAACCAAACAGATCCAAGTCTAGAAGTTGTGAGTTTTATTTTGCTTGACTTTTTTTTCTGTATTCCCTGTAGTAACCTACGGATGTGAGAGCTGGACCGTAGGGAAGGCTGAGCGAAGGAAGATAGATGCTTTTGAGCTGTGGTGCTGGAGGAAAGTGCTGAGAGTGCCTTGGACTGCGAGAAGATCCAACCAGTCCATCCTCCAGGAAATAAAGCCCGACTGCTCACTGGAGGGACGGATACTAGAGACAAAGTTGAAGTACTTTGGCCACATCATGAGGAGACAGGAAAGCCTGGAGAAGACAATTATGCTGGGGAAAGTGGAAGGCAAAAGGAAGAGGGGCCGACCAAGGGCAAGATGGATGGATGGCATCCTTGAAGTGACTAGACTGACCTTGAAGGAGCTGGGGGTGGTGACGGCCGACAGGGAGCTCTGGCGTGGGCTGGTCCATGAGGTCACGAAGAGTCGGAGACGACTGAATGAATGAACAACAACAATATATTTGGGTTAAGGGAGGGGGAGGAAAAGGAATAGCATTTTGTTTTTACATGTAAAGTGGTGGAACAATAATATGAAGAGAAAGTAGGAAATAATAGAGGAGAAGGAGTAATTAAAAATAAAAAGAGAAAAAAGAGAAATAATAAAAAATAAATAAAAAATAAATAATGTCCTGGTGACTTCAATCTAAACCAGTGTTTCTCAACCTTTCTAATGCTACAGTCCCTTAATACAGTTCCTCATGTTGTGGTGACCCCCAACCATGACGTTATTTTCGTTGCTACTTCATAACTGTAATTTTGCTATTGTATTGTCGAAGGCTTTCATGGCCGGAATCACTGGGTTGTGGTAGGTTTTTTCGGGCTATATGGCCATGGTCTAGAGGCATTCTCTCCTGACATTTCACCTGCATCTATGGCAAGCATCACCACCTCACTACCTCTGAGGATGCTTGCCATAGATGCAGGCGAAACGTCAGGAGAGAATGCCTCTAGACCAGGGATCCTCAAACTTTTTAAACAGAGGGCCAGGTCACAGTCCCTCAAACTGTTGGAGGGCCGGATTATAACTTGAAAAAAAACATGAATTAATTCCTATGCACACTGAACATATCTTATTTGTAGTGCAAAACATTTAAAAACAATACAATATAATTAATAATGAAGAATAATTTTAACAAATATAAACTTATTAATATTTCAGTGGGAAGTGTGGGCCTRCTTTTGGCTGATGAGATAGAATTGTGGTTGTTGTGTGCTTTCAAGTCATTTCAGACTTAGGTTGACCCTGAGCGAGGGCCGGGTAAATGACCTTGGAGGGCAAGGCATGCTGGATAGCAAATAGTGCAGGAAAACACATAAGGGTATGCAGAAGATTGCTCAGAGGATTACAGTTTCGCTATCGAACATTGAAGGTGTTCCACTTAGTATGTATCCATTTTTTAAACTAACATGACTTTTGCAGCACTGATGATAGGTGTGATAAAATCCTCGGTCCATGCCAAATTGTGGGGGAGTCAGAGAAAAAAGATCAGAATATCTCTGGAGATGGGGACTGCCAGCTTTGTATGCTACTGAACTAACCTTGGAAACTATTGGTTCCAATGCAGACCTTGGAATGTACAGGCTGCATGGTCACTGACCCACTCGGAACGCCCACTCTATGTTTATCTACTCTTCTGTCCAAGTGCAAAGTTCACATTAGGTCTATTCTTTATCTTTGAGACATGTGTGCCTTTAGTGTCCTAATCTGGCACATTCATTTAAAGATCGGTAAACAGAGTACAAATGTATCTGGTGAGGACATTCATTGCTTTAATGAAACGGTTCTTACATGTCTCCTCTAGATCTTGCAATGCAAACAGTCCATACACTGGGTTGTTGTAGGTTTTTTCGGGCTGTATGGCCATGGTCTAGAGGCATTCTCTCCTGACGTTTCGCCTGCACTTTGGCAAGCATCCTCAGAGGTAGTGAGGTCTGTTGGAACTAGGCAAAAGGATTTATATATCTGTGGCATGACCAAGGTGAGACAAAGGACTCTTGTCTGCTGGAGCTAGGTGTGAATGTTTCAACTGACCGCCTTGATTAGCATACAATGGCCTGACTGCGCCTGGGGCAAACGTTTTGTTGAGAGGTAATTAGATGTCCTTGTTTGTTTCCTCGCTGTTGTTGTGCTGTTGCAATTTTAGAGTTTTTTTTAAATACTGGTAGCCAGATTTTGTTCATTTTCATGGTTTCCTCCTTTCTGTTGAAATTGTCCACATGCTTGTGTATTTCAATGGCTTCTCTGTGTAGTCTGGCATGGTGATCCATACACTGAATTCACCCTTTGCCAGTTCTCCATAAGCCATAAAGGAGACAATATAACTTGAGAACATGGCTTAAACATAAACTCTTGCTGCCACAACTTCAGTTCAAATTTTGCTGGTTAAGACTTTGCAGCAAATTTTGCTGGTTAAAAATTATGGCTAATAAGGATAATTTAAGTTGCAATAATAATAATAATAATAATAATAATAATAATAATAATACTTTATTTATACCCTGCCACCATCTCCCCAAGGGACTCAGAGCTGCTTACACGAAGCCAAGCCCAACAGTACATCAATAAACAAAAGCAATAAACAAAAACAATAAATGCAATACAATTAATATAAATCACATATAAACAATAAACAGTAACACACAAGGATTTAAAAACCTATGGCTGGGCCAAATTTAATAGTTTAAAAAATAAAAAAATAAATGCTGGGCATGAACAAGATAGGATATAAAGAGAGATGAGAGAACACAGTCAATCCTAAATCAGTGGTAAAACTATGCTAGTTTTATGCTAGTTGTCATGGATAACAGGAGTTAATAATGTTTTAATGCCTTAAATTGTTAACTTCTCATTTGTCGGGGTTCATGTTCATTTTTTTATATAATTGTCTTGATTTTACATGCTGTACACTGCTTTGAGTTCCATTGTGGGAGAAAAGTGAGATATAAATAAATAAATAATATTACTGGCCTCATGCAGAAAGTTTGCACAACCAAATAGCTGTGTGAGTGCTGCAATCCAGTGTACTTAAATCCCTCCAAAATAGTTTCCCTGGGATTCTGAAGGACACTGAACCATAGAATCCTACTTCCTGGCCATGTAAGAGGAATACATTATGAAATATGAAGGGAATCTGTACAGTATTAGCCAGACAGGCTAGTCTAGTCCAAACTCAAGAAAACAGAATGTTGGTGGGCAGGAAAAGAGATTTAAAGATGGGCTCAAAGCCAACCTTAAAAACTCTGGCATAGACAGAGAACTGGGAAGCCCTGGCCCTTGAGCACTCCAGCTGGAGGCCAGCTGTGACCAGCAGTGCTTAATAATCTAGAGCTGATGTGGCAGTAGTAATCATAGAATCAAAGAGTTGGAAGAGACCTCATGGGCCATCCAGTCCAACCCCCTGCCAAGAAGCAGGAATATTGCATTCAAATCACCCCTGACAGATGGCCATCCAGCCTCTGTTTAAAAGCTTCCAAAGAAGGAGCCTCCCCCACACTCCGGGGCAGAGAGTTCCACTGCTGAACGGCTCTCACAGTCAGGAAGTTCTTCCTAATGTTCAGATGGAATCTCCTTTCATATCTAATGTTGCCATATGAACATTTGTCTTATAATTTTAACAATTGACTTTCAAGATTCCTGTGTGGTTAGCCAGATTCCACCTAACTGTTACATACCTCCAATGTATAAATAAAATGACTGTCTGCCTCTGGAAAACTTCTGAAGGACTTGTCCTCCACTGTTAGAGACACTCTGGCTCAAGGAGTTTGGGGCAGAGGGATGACTGACCATTGTCTAGTTTCCCTTTAAGGCATGATTCTGTGGAAAGATTGAACTAAAAATATAACCAGTATAGTATTTACTTAATATGATTTTTATTTTCATGTAGCGTGTTCTGGGTGCAGTGGATGTTGTTTGTTGTTCATTCGTTCAATTATTTCCGACTCTTTTAAACAGAGGCTGGATGGCCATCTGTCAGGGGTTATTTGAATGCGATGTTCCTGCTTCTTGGCAGGGGGTTGGACTGGATGGCCCATGAGGTTTCTTCCAACTCTTTGATTCTATGATTCTATGATTCGTTGTGACCTCATGGACCAGCCCATGCCAGAGCTCCCTGTTGGCCGTCACCATCCCCAGCTCCTTCAAGGTCAATCTAGTAAATCCATCTTGCCCTTGGTCGGCCCCTCTTCCTTTTTCCTCCCATTTTCCCCAGCATCATTCTCTAAGCTTTCCTGTCTTCTCATGATATGGCCAAAGTACTTCATCTTGGCCTCTACTATCGTTCCCTCCAGTGAGCAGTTGGGCTTTATTTCCTGGAGGATGGACTAGTTGGATCTTCTCACGGTACAAGGCACTCTCAGAACTTTCCTCCAACACCACAGTTCAAAAGCATCGATCTTCCTTCGCTCAGCCTTCCCTCTGGTCCAAGCTGTCACATCCGTAGGTTACTACAGGGAATACCATTGCTTTAACTATGTGGATCTTCGTTGCCAGTGTGATGTCTCTACTCTTCACTATTTTATCGAGATTGGACATTGCTCTCCTCCCAAGAAGTAAGCATCTCCTGATTTCCTGGCTGCAGTCTGCATCTGCAATAATCTTTGCACCTAGAAATACAAAGTCTGTCACGGCCTCCACGTTTTCTCCCTCTATTTCCCAGTTGTCAATCATTCTTGTGTGCAGTGGATACCTGCCTGCAAACGGATTGGTAAGGATAGTGGAGATGGTTTGTGGAGGACAGTGGAGATGACACCATGGGAAAACTTTAATTTCTAAATGTTTTCTGGAAAAGGCCATGTTAATTATCAGGTATTACAAGTACAGGGAGTCCCCGGTGACACAGTGGGTTAAAGCACTGAGCTGCTGAGCTTGTTGATCGAAAGGTCACAGGTTCAATTCCGAGGAGCAGCGTAAGCTTCTGCTGTCAGCCCAAGCTTCTGCCAACCTAGCAGTTTGAAAACATGCAAATGTGAGTAGATCAATAGGTACTGCTCCGGCGGGAAGGTAACGGCGCTCCATGCAGTCATGCCGGCTACATGACCTTGGAGGTGTCTACGGACAACGCTGGCTCTTCGGCTTAGAAATGGAGAAGAGCACCACACCCCAGAGTCAGACATGACTGGACTTAATGTCAGGGGACTACCTTTACCTTTACATACCTACAAGTTGTAAAATGTAATTTTGAATAATCTGAAAATTTCACTTAAAGATGTATAATTGCTGTGTGTCATTTATCTGTCGCCACATCTGAGAAAGGGTCTATGGTTTTCACCTGACTGGCACAGGGGTCCATGGAACAAAAAAAGATTAAGAACTCCCATTTTAAGGTCATGTTTTGCTAAATTTCTACTGAAATGCATGGGACTTACTGAAAAGTCACTGCTATCTCCCTGAATGGGATATGAGAGAGGCTCATGGACAAATGGTGTTTACTTGAAGGCAGAGAGTCAATATGGGTGTCGTTGACTAAGGGCAATTAAGTTCATACGCCCACACAGTGTTTTTGGAATGGACTCATCTCTAGCAGGCTATTTAAGTGTCCGCACCTGGACTCCAGTGCTGCCTACTGGAACTACAGTCTGGATCCAGCCTCTGCTGTCCATCACAGTTGAGGCAATGGGAGCACCTCTTCTCATCTGGACCTTGGCTCTACTGACATGCACAGTCTCAGTAATTGCAGATCCGTAAGATTCTTATTTTTCATTTCCCTTTGCTAAGCATATAACAAGTTGGATATCCTAGTGATGGAAATCTGTAGTCCCTACGAATTTCCAAGTTACATGTTTAGTATGGGATTGCCAGGCTTGTTTTTCTTGTTTATAAGGAGTGTGTTTGATGTTGTTAGGAAATAATTGTTCTGAGTTCTTGCTGTACTTTGCCCATGGTGCCCATATTCACAAAACCCACTTTTTGTAGAGAACAACAGAAGAGCAGGACAATATATGGAGATACAGGTTACCCTACAATTACTCTTTTGGCTTTTTCATGAGAACGTTTTTGATGTTTCATAGAATCATAGAATCAAAGAGTTGGAAGAGACCTCATGGGCCATACAGTCCAACCCCCTGCCAAGAAGCGGGAACATTGCATTTAAATCACCCTTGACAGATGGCCATCCAGCCTCTGCTTAAAAGCTTCCAAAGAAGGAGACTCCACCACACTCCAGGGCAGAGAGTTCCACTGCTAAACGGCTCTCACAGTCAGGAAGTTCTTTCTCATGTTCAGATGGAATCTCCTTTCCTGTAGTTTGAAGCCATTGTTTTGTGTCCTAGTCTCCAGGGAAGCAGAAAACAAGCTTGCTCCCTCCCCCCTGTGGCCTCCTCTCACATATTTATACATGGCTATTAGGCCTGGGTAACAACGGAAAAATTTGTTTCTAAAATCGATTTGTATTTGGGGGGTTTTTTTGTTTCGATATTTAAAATAATTACAAAATTTTCCTTTTAAAAAGTTCGATATTTACGAAATTTCGTAAATGGTAAAAAAATTAACGAATCGATTTCCGAAACAATAACGAATCGATTCGTTAATGGCGGACGCGACCGCGAAATACGCTAAAAAACCTCCAAAACCTTCTGAAGCTTCCCTCTCCCTCTGTTGTTGACTGTTGGTGTGATATTATAATTTTTTTTCACTAATTAAACCATAAAACTGGCCCAGACATGCGGAAATAATAACGAAACGACCTCAAAACAATAACGAAACGAATACAATATCGAAATACGAAGCATTTACAAAACGTTTTTGAAAATTCGTTTTTTTAATAATTGCTCCAGAATGGTTCGTTATCGTTTTGTAATTGAAAAAATTAACGAATTATTAACGAATTACGAATTAACGAAACGAAACCGCCCAGCCCTAATGGCTATCATATCTCCTTTCAGCCTTCTTCTTCTTCTTCTTCTTCTTCTTCTTCTTCTTCTTCTTCTTCTTCTTCCTATTATTATTAATAATAATTTTTTTTCTTACCCACCAATCCTTTTGACTCAAGTTGGGTTATATTCATTGTATCAAATATACATATTAAAATGTAATTCTTCAAAATACATAGATTAAAATACATAGAAAAATGATTAAAATATAGTGGACACAAGACACAAGTTTAAGTTTTAATGTTCAAACTTCATTGCCATGGATCTTAACTTTGGTGCTCCAAATGCATTCCTTCACCACCACCACCTTATTGTTATTCATCCCACCGAAGTGTAGAAAACCGATTTAGTTTGGAGTCGGAATAGTTGAGTGTTGATGTGTGGTTTTCACTGAGATTATCTTTGTGATGGACAAACTTTGGTTAATAAAAATACTGATGGACAACAATGCAGATTATTTAGTTTAGTCTAAGGCAACGGCAGAATTTATGACTGGCTGCAAGAAAGACAGCATCTGGATTAGATCTCTGAAATGGAGGACAATCAATATAGGAGTCATTGTTCCAATAAGGTAAAGTTCACACAACCACACAATGATTTTTGGAACAGTAAGGTCTTTAGCGACCTCATCACAAACATTGAGGCAAATGCATGGGGTCCCGGCAGGGGACATGGAAAACCTGTCACTCCACACATCGCGTGACTTACCTGGGGTCCTGTCACATGGGGGGGGGGGAATGGGGGAGCAAGATATGTGTTGCTACTGGCTTCCCCTCATTGCCCTGAAGGCAACACAGAAAGCATACACTGTTTGCTCTCCCCTTTCATCATCATCATCATCATCATCATCATCATCATCTTGAATTACTTATTAATCGCCCTCCATCCGAGATCCTCCAGGCGATTTACATTGCAGAAATTATACAGGATAAAACACATATATACAAATATTAAAATTAACATGTGTCAAATGCTCTAGTAAAAAGCCAGGTCTTGTGCTATGATAAAATGCCCTGGCTCTCAAATAGGGAGGCAAGGAATTCCATAAGGCAGGGGCAGAAATAGAGAAGGCCCTGCGTCTGGTGCTTTCCAAGTGCACTTCCCTAGGACCCGGTATATAGAGCAAATCGCGTTGGGATGCTCGTGGCGACCTCCGATGATGGGAGAAGGAGAGATGGTCTCTAAGATACAATGGACCCTGGCCATATAAAGTTTTAAAGGTCAGGACCAGCATCTTATACAAACCACGATACTCAATTGGGAGCCAGTGTAGATGCCGCAGCACTGGTGTTATATGGCATTTCATGGGTGTTTTTGTGAGTAACCTTTCCCCATGAAGCCTTACTGGAAATACATGTGCATCATGCAATGGACTCCACCAGGAAAGGGGAGAGCAAGTGGCATACAATGGGGAAAAGATCCCATCAGATGAGGCCATAAAAGATTACGGACACCCTTTTTTGCTTTCTGTTCCGTTATTTTTGGAGTACAAACTGTAGTAGTCTTCTTCTCTGGAGGGTTTAAGCAGAAGCTGAATGGCCATCTGCTGAGAGGGCTTGGATTGTGTATTCCTGCACAGCAAGGGGTTGGACTGGATGGCTCTTGTAGTCTGTTCCAGCTCTATGATTCCATGATTCTATATTTACATAGTAAATATAGGATAGATTCTTTCCTTGTCTTGTAAGAGGAGACATCTTGATTTGGAGAATATTTGTGAATGTTACTGTTAATGAAGACCTGACCTGGGGCATTCATACTGCGGTGTTGGTTAAGAAGGCCCAGCAGAGATTGTATTATCAGAGATGCTTAAAAAAATTACAATTGAATTAGAAACTGCTGGTGACTTTCTACTGCTATGCTATAGAGAGAGTTCCAACCTGTTGCATCTGTGCATGGTTTTGCTAAGGCTTGCCAGAGGGTTGCCACTACTGCCAAGAGAATTATTAATTGCCCTCTCTCCTCTCTGAAAGAACTGTAAAATTTCCCACTGCCTTAGGAAAGCTCAAAATATTCTTAAGGATCTATCTCACCCTGTATATACTTTAAAAAAATTGTTACCATCTGGCAGACAATATCTATGTATATAATAAAAGTCAAAACTTGTATGCGGAGGACAAAAGTGTGGCGGGAGGAGTATGTGCCAGCGTTCTGATTGGCTGCCGCTGTGGTGCTATTTGCATATGGTCTCTGATTGGCCAGCTTCAATAGGAGCCCCTGGTGGAGAAAAGAGTTCATGACAGAAACGGGGACATGAGAAGGAAATTTGCATATGTTCTCTGATTGGCCAGCCTCAATTCCAAGATTCCGAGATGACTAAGAGAGGAAAGGAAAAGGCCAGAGGGGGCTGAGTCAGAACATTACCAATACAGACCAAACTTGGCACACAGAGCCCCCATGACCCACTCTACATCCTACTGCAGTTTGGAGGAGGATGAACCATGGATGATGGGACTTGCAGTACCATCACTCACATTCTGAGACCGCTGTTAACCTCATCCAATGACTGATCAGGACCAAACTTCGCACATAGACCTCTCATGACCCACTTTACGTCCTGGTGTGGTTTGGCCAGGGATGGACCGTGGATTATGGGACTTGCAGTACCATTGCTCAATTCTTCAGACCACTGCAACCCTCATCCAATTACCAATAAATACCAAACTTGGCACACTGAGACACCATGACGCACTCTACATCCAGGTGCAGTTTGAAGGAGGATGCACCATGGACGATGGGACTTGCAATACCTGCACTCCCTTCCTAAGACCATTACAACTGCCGACAATGATGGATCAGGACCACAATTTACACAGAGACCCAGCATGACCCACTCTACATCCTGGTGCGGTTTGGAAGAATTTGACAATAGATGATGGAACTTGCAGTCACTTCACTCACTTCCTGAGACCACTGAGACCCTCGCCAATTACTAATCAAGACTAAACTTGGCACATGGAGCTCCAATGACCCACTCTACATCCTGGTGCACTTTGGAGGAGGACAGATCATGGATGATGGGACTTCAAGTACCTCCATTCCCCAAGACTGCTGCAATCTCATCTAATGACCAATCAAGACCAAAGTTGGCACACAGAGCCCCCATGACCCACTCTACATCCTGCTGCAGTTTTGGAGGAGGGTTGACCATGGATGATGGAACTTCCAGTACCTTCACTCACATTCTGAGACCTCTGCAAACCTCATCCAATGATGGATCAAGACCAAACTTGGCACATAGACCTCTCATGACCCACTTTACGTCATGGTGTTGTTTGGAAAAATTTAGAGATGGATGATGGGACTTTGCTCACTTCCTGAGACCACTGAGACCCTCGCCAATGACTAATGAAGACTAAACTTGGCACACAGAGCCCCCATGATCCACTCTACATCCTGCTGCAGTTTGAAAGGGGATGGACTTTGGATGATGGGACTTGCAGTACCTTCACTCACTTACTGAACACCACTGCCACCCTCATCCAATGACTGATAAAGACCAAACTTGGCACACAGAGCCCCCATGACCCACTCTATATCCTGCTGCTGTTTGGAGGAGGGTGGACCATGGATGATGGGACTTCAAGTACCTTCACTCACTTCCTGAAAACAATGCAGCCATTATCCAATGACCAATAAAGACCAAACTTGGCATACAGAACCGCCATTATCCACTTTCTCTAATAACCCGGGCAGCGCCGGGTCCCCAAGCTAGTATATAATAAAAGTGAATGTTTGTTTGTATGTATGTATGCGGAGGGTGGAAGGGTGGAAGTGTATGTGGCAGCTTTCTGATTGGCTCTGACTTTCACAGG